TTCTTATTGTAGAACAAAAAAAATAAAAAAAATATATATATATTTTGTTTTATTTTTTATTACAAAAATATGATTCGCTACCTTTTAGGTACAAAGTTATAAAGGGTTAATCTGAAATACTATCAGATACTCAAATTTACACAACTAGTAAGACTAAAGAAGGAAGAAGCCAACTTAATTGTAATTTTCATAAAGACCGCTTAGTACTTTGATTGCCATTGCATATTCTGCATTATATACCAACCAAAAATCATCTGACAAGCAAATGTCGGTAAAAAAAAAATCTTGAACTACAACACAGTATTTTCTGCTCTGACAGGATGCTTTGAATTAGCAATTGTATACACACTGCAAATATCCACAGTTTGTGTGTTTTTCAAAACAAGAATAAAGGAAGTAACAAAACAGAAAAGAATGTAAGTGGGGGATAAGCAACTATGGCAGGAAGACGGGATTTTGTGGTCACATGGAGAAACAAGTTGAAAGTATGGAACAAACACTTTTTGGAAACATACATGCAAGATTGAAAAAACAAAAAACAAAAAAAAAAACAACCCCACGTATGACTGCCTATTATACAGATTTCCATTTTTTTTGTAAGCAAGAAATAAAGAATTTAAAACAGGATATAGAATTGTTGCTTTTTTTGCACAATGATTGTGAATACACAGTTTGTTCTTTTGGGGGTGGGGGGGTTTAATTCAAACCAAAACAAACTTATAGGGTTATTCACTAAAGTGGGGGGAAATGTCCGAGTCAATTCTGTGTTCATTTTGGTCTTACTTTAGTCTAACCCCAATGTCATTATGTTTAGAAATATTTGTTATATTATTTTAGCTATGTGGGAGCAAAGCTTACATTAAAATGGACACTATAGTCACCAGAACAACTACAGCGTATTGTATTTGTTCTGGTAAGTAGAATCATTCCCTTCAGGCTTTTTGCAGTAAACACAGCCTTCTCAGATATAATTCAGTGTTTACATTACAGCCTAGTGATAACCACTGACCACTCCACAGACGGCTACTAGAGGCGCATCCTGGGTCAGTGCTGCACAGTGTGCAGCACTGCCATTCATTGTCTCCACCTTCTGCATTGAGACACTGAACTAACTTATAGAGCTGATTCAATGCATTTCTATAAGTAGATGCTGATTGGCCGGGGCTATGTTTGGCTTGTGCTGGCTCTGCCCCTTGATCTCCCTCCTTGACCAGCTCAGCCAATCCAAGCCAATCCAATGCTTTCCTATGTGAACGCACGGCGATTGGCTCAGACTCCCACCTCTGATGTTAGCCAAGCAGGAAGATCAGGGTCAGAGCCAGCAGCAGCAGACTGGAATAAAGGCTATATTTTACAATAATTAGAGGGCAAGGAGGGCCAGAAGAGCTAGACAGAGATTTTAGCACTATGGGGTCAGGAATACATGTTTATGTTCCTGACCCTACAGTGTTTCTTTAAGGCAGCGTTTCCCAATTGGTGTTCAGCTGAACCCTAGGGGGTTTCCGCCGTGCATCGCCACATCCAAGATGGCCACCGCTCCCTGCTGTTGCCAGAAGGTCGAAACAGCAGAGAGCGCGAGCTTGCACAGTTATGCATACCTGCCATCAGCCTGCCTCAACCCACCCTCTGTCAGCCCGCCCTGCATCAGCCATTTCATATCCACTCGGTGATCGAGTGGAAGCATTAAGGCGCTTAGATTACAATTTGAAATGGAAATTATTTCTTTTACTGTCATTTACACTGATGCCCTTTAGATTAGTGCCCAT